CAATCGCAGGCATCAGTGAGATGACATGGAGAGGTAACGGGACAACAACAACAACATCAAGCGGCAATCTAGTTGTGATGCACAGCGGGACCAATGATGGAGGCAGGAGCGGAGTCGGGATATATGTGTCCAAACAATACAAACAGGCACTTATTTCCCGGAGCCCAGTATCCGACAGAATCATCATTGCCAGATTCCGATGCAATGCTAGACACATCACCATCGTGCAGTGCTATGCCCCAACAGAAGACGCCAGCGATGACATCAAAGACGACTTCTTCAACGCCCTCACATCCTCACTCACTAGGATCGAAAGAGGTGACATAAAAATTCTTATGGGAGACTTCAATGCGAAAATCGGCCCCAACAACAACGGATTGGAAACAATCATGGGCCGACATGGTGTTGGCACACGCAGCAATAATGGTGACAGGCTAATCGACTTATGTCAGACCTTCCAACTGGTTATTGGTGGCACTGTATTCCCCACAAGGAAATCCATAAATACACATGGACCTCTCCGAATGGACATACTCGCAACCAAATCGACCACATCTGCATAAGTAGGAAGTGGAGACGCTCGATGATGGATGTTAGGAATAGGAGAAGCGCGTCTATCGACAGTGACCACGAGCTGATAATCGGAGAGCTTTTAATCAAGCTGAGACGAAATAGCAACATTGTCAACAGGACCACAAGAAGACCGCCTTCCATTAACGTACAACGGCTGAGTGACTCCAACCTATCCACCAGAATGGCCACAACGTTGCGTGAACAGATGACAGCACAACCGTTGAATCACTCATGGGAACAAACATGCAGTATGCCACTAACCATACAGCATATAGACAACCCATTTCATACAACGAAAATGGACGCAAAAATTTCTTGCGACAGGCCCCAGCAGGCCCCAGAGCGGATTTCTTACGCTCTCTTACGCTCATCGTTCGTTCATCTTACGCTCATTCTCTCATTAAATTTTTTCTGTTTCTCAGTCTCTAAACGGAGCGCGATGAAGAAGGTTGGCCTGCGCTTCGGTTATTTGATGAAATGCGCTTATTTGATGAAATGACGAAAGAAATTATATTATTTTTTATATTATATTTTTTATTATTTCAGCATACATTTTGAGGACAACACCCGACAACGCACGAGTTACATAGAGCACCCTACCCTGCCTCTTTACCACCGTCGCTACCAGCCACCGAAAAAATGGAACAAGAGTACAAGGCTCATGGATAGATCGGAGACATGTTCTCCGATTCTCACTCTCTCACTCTCTGTAACGGGATCAAAAGCGCACCTGTTAGTTTAAGCAGATACATATAATTCTAGAAAATAAAGCTTTTTGGCTCTTTGATATACCACCAAACTAGAAGCACGTATTTTCAACTGGTAACTGGCGCAGCCGGGACACTATGACAATAGTCATAGAAACCTTTACAGTGTAAAATAAACCCAAAAAATAAAAGAGATAAATAAATAAGTATAAAATAGAATCTCGGGTTTTAAGCTTATACTAATTCTGAAACTAATACTGTGAATGTGAAAAAAAAAACTTATATACATACTTATAAACTTATGGTTTGATTTACATACTTGTATATATATACATATACATATGTATGTTTTGTCAAGTAAAAAAAAATTTTGTTGCGTCTCATGACCGTACTGCTCACACATACATATGCAGTACGGTCATGAGACGCAACAAAATTTTTTTTTACTTGACAAAACATACATATATATATATACAAGTATGTAAATCAAACCAAACATCATCAAACACCAAAGACCCAGCAGTTCGGCTGGTGGCAATAGTTCTTTTTGGGTATGGATTTGGGTACTCTTTTGTGGGTACCCATATCGCTTACTATTGGTATAGCGGCTTGGGTACTCTCTGCTTCATGTCTTTTTTGTATAACGCTGCGAGTATATACTTTGGTACTCCTTTTGGGTACGACGGTCGCACCACAACAAAGCGCAAACGAAAATTAGCATTTAAAGGAAATGACCGCTTAGAAAGTGGACTTGCAGTAAATTGTTTGTTTTTGTTGCTAGAAGCAGTTAAACAGATGCGAGTATATACTTTGGTACTCCTTTTGGGTACGACGGTCGGACCACCACAAAGCGCAAACGAAAATCTTCTCTTTTTTGATTTTTGCTTCAGTATAACTTGAGCATATTTGGTGACACGACGTGAAAGTGTGGTAAATAATAAATAAATAATAAAAACTCTAAATAAATATTAAAAACAGTGACAGTGAAACAGTGATAAAAAAAGGATAAAAAAGGTAATAATTATAATTATGGTTTGCAAAAGAGAAAAGAATTTATTTTCAGGCGTCAATTATAAGGCATTTGTTGCAGCCCTGGTGAAGTTGCCAGAAATTTAAAAAATATGCTAAGCGATTCCTTAATGATGGAGTATAAAGTCATTAAAAACAGCGCGAAATGTATATTTAGCACTACTTGGTAAGAATTTTAAAAAATATTGGTTTTAATTTTAATAATGATTTTTTTTTATAATATTAGATGTAATTTCTGCTGATGGCGGCAACAACACATAATTTTCGCACACGTAACACATAAGTTTTTTTAAGCCAAATAAAATGGTGTAATTCTGTGAATTTCTGATAAGTAAAATAATTTTATAAATTTTTAAAAATGAATTAAATGTAATTCTATATTTAATAATTTTATACATAATAAAAAACAAAAATTTATAAGAAAAAAAAAATCTTTTTCTGGGTATGTAAATCGCTGTCCCTTGGTAGATACCCAAGTGGCTATACTGTATAGAGTACCCAATTCCGTACCTAAATCGATGTCCCTTAGTAGTATGTATTTGGGTACTCCTTTTGGGTACCCCAATTCGATACTCATTGGTATACGAAGAGGTGACGATTGTACACCGCCTATGACATGCCTTAGTTAAATTCGCCTCTGAAATACATGCCTTAGGTATTGACTGGTGGGTACTCGTCTACCCCAGGGGCATAGTGAATTCGACACCCATGCACTAGTGCGGCGAACTGCTGTCGAATAACGTATGTACATGTGTATGTGTATATACATACATAAATACTTGTGTGAAATCGAATGCGATAATCACTGCCGAATTACAAATGGCTAAGCAACGCACTATAGGAAATTTGACCAAACCATTTTTTGAAAGTTAAAAGATTAAAATAATTTTAACTGCATATCATTCACAATAGATTAATTTTTAATGTTGCATACAAGAAATTTTCATAGATGGCGCCACTGCGAAGAAATCAGCTGTTAAAAACAGCTGTTGATGTTAACATTTGCATGAGCTTAGAATTTAAGATTTTTTGGTGCGATTTTAAAAAGACGAATACTGAAAATTTTATGGACAAAATCAAAAGTTTTGAAATGAATACTTTTCAATGTGGTTTGTATTATGTGTTCGTATATGTGAAGTGTCCAAAAACTTGTGTTGTCTTTTTAATAAAGTGAAAATATAAGTAGTCTAGCAAAAGAAATTTTTAGAAAAAAATCACATTTTTAAAAAGAGATTTAAACCAAGTCTGGCCGAGTCGGACAATGTAATTTAGTCCATGTTGTAGATTGTTTAATTTTCTTCAAATGAGTGAAATATGAATATGCCCTTTTATGCACTTTCGAAGAAATTCATAATTTAAGGAGGCAACCTCATCACCTTGAATGCAAATCTGTTAGCTGTGAGACTAGTGTAAAACCGAACAGTTAGCATGTTATTTTTAAATAGGGGGCGGTGCCACGCCCACAATTTTTCATTTCTGAGTTCTTTTGACCATATAAACTCAAATCAAAAATCAAATTTTAAATATCTTGCATAGTTTTTGAGTTAGAATGTGTTTCTTAAAAAGTGGGCGGTGCCACGCCCAAATTTTTTTTAAATTTTAAATCTATTGACCATGTGAACTCAAATCAAAAATCAGAACTTAAATATTTTGTTTCGTTCTTGAGATATTATTTTTGGCCAGAAAAAGTGGTCAAATTTCCTATAGTGCAACGTACGTACATACCCACAAACCGCGCCGCCTTAAAAGCAGCAGTACTGGAAGAGTGGCATAAAATTCCACTAGAATATGACCTACAAAAGCTGATAAATTCGATGAAAAATCGCACTAGACTAGTAGTTGAAGCTAAGGGGGGTCATACTAAATATTAAAATTAGATTAAGATAGTATAAGTTGTTAAATATATTCATTAATCTGTAGCTTAAGTACCTTGTGTAAAGAGTTTCTTGACAGTGTCAAAGATGTGTAAACTCATATATTATTGAATTATAATTTTTTGTTTCGTTATATCGTTTTAATTTTTGTACATTCATATATTAAATTTAGTTAGTAATAGTTCTACATTAAAAAAATATTGAAAAAACACAAACAAAGGCGTTTTTTTTGCATGTGTAAACAAAAATTGTGATTTTTTTTCAATGTGTAAACAGTTTCTTGACATACTGTACATTCAAATACATACATATGTACATGCATGCAACATGCATGCAAGCGACATGGAAACAAATGCTGTTAACCCTTTCATGCCCGTTGTTGCATATACGCAACATTGTGTTTATGAGCCTCTATCTACCGTTATTTCAATTATTTTTGTTTTGATTCTTTCGCAGAAAAATAGCTGTATGTGTTGAGTGAGATTATACATAATTTTTCGGTAGTCAGCTGCACACGCGTTCAGTTTGTAGCTATTTTCCCGAGAGTGTAGTTGAAAAATTCATTGTGGAAAAAAAAGTGGTTTTTGAAAAGTGTTAAATAAACATTAAAGTAATTAATTCATCATAATACCAAGTTTAGCAACATTATAAAGAAAGGTAAACAAAACCTCGCATGAAAATATTACTTAGTTTGTTTGTAATATTTTTGTAAATGTCGTGTTGCGTATATGCAACATTGGTCTATTGTGGTAATTTTCGAAAAAAAAATGTTTGTTGTATACAGATTCTAAGATGCGCCCAAAAGGTCTGACTCAAGCTGAGATTGAAAAATTTGCCAACTTTGATTGGGATGATTCGGCTGATGAGGAAAATGAAGAAGAAGAAGATCGAAATATGGACGAGATTATAGAAAAAGCTTTGCAAAATTTGGATAACAGAGCAGAAAATGTTGGTTTGATTGATGAAAATTCAAGTGAAAATAATCACGTTGTAGAGGAGGTGATGGAAAAAATTGATTTGAAGAGTTTGAAGTGGAGGAATGCAGAGTTTATGGAAAGCGAGACCACTTGGAAAAGTAAATTATGCAAAAATGCGGTAAAAACACCCATCGAATATTTTAAAACTTTCTTTGCGGATGAACTATGGGAGAAAATATGTCAGGAAACGAATCTATATGCCATGCAAACGAAGGGCATAGAATTGAAATGCACTGTGCCTGAAATAAAAAGGTTTGTTGGCATACTTCTTTACCTTGCAGTTGTGAAAATACCAGCTTATAGAATGGCGTGGGCGACAAATTTCAAACTAGCCGCCGTTGCAAATGCATTGCCGAGAAACAGATTTGAAAAAATTAAACAGTTTTTTCATTTGAACGATAACTCTAAACAGTCTCAGAAGGGAACTCATGAATACGACAAGTTGCACAAGGTTCGCCCTCTGTTGGACGCCATAAAAAAAAAATTCAATGAAATTTCGCAAGAAGAATTTCAAAGTATAGATGAGCAAATGATTGCATATAAAGGTAACTTATTTGTAAATACATTTCTGAATAACACAATAGTATATTATTTTCTCAGGTCAACATAGTTTAAAACAATACCTTCCAATGAAGCCCCACAAGTGGGGTTTCAAAATGTTTACGAGAGCTGGTGTATCTGGGATTATTTACGATTTTACGCTGTACATTGGAGAAGGAACGTGCAAGACTTATGGCTTGGGCATTTCATCAGATATAGTGCTATCTTTATCATCCAATCTACCAGTAAACCAAAATTTCAAACTGTTTTTTGACAATTGGTTTTCGTCAATAAGCTTGATGATTGCTCTGAAAGAGAAAGGCATATTAGCCGTTGGTACAATTAGAAGCAACCGATTGAAAAATTGTGCTCTAATCAGTGAAAAGGACCTTCAAAAACGAGGACGAGGATCAAGCGATTTCAAATATGAAGCAACGCACAACTTGATTGCTTGTCGTTGGTATGATAATAAGAGCGTACAATTAGTTTGACAACCCCATGAGTGAATGCAACAGATGGTGCCGCAAAGAGAACAAGTTTATAACTATACCTCGTCCAGGTATAGTTGAATGTTACAACAAACACATGGGAGGGGTTGATCTTGCGGACATGCTGCTTGAATTGTACAAAATTAACCACCGCTCAAATAAATGGTATATGCGCATAGTATACTGGTGCATAAATTCAAGTTTAGTAAACAGTTGGTTGTTGTACCGTAGAGACATAACCCATACAGACGGCGAATTGAAGCATATGCCGCTCATAAATTTCCATTTGGATGTTGCTTCCGAGCTTTTGAACGCAAGTCAAACTACAGTTGTCGCCAAAAAGAGAGGTCGTCCATCATCACTCCTTTTGACAATAAATTCATGCCCATCATCACTAGCTCCATCATCACCAGCTCCATCATCACCAGCTTCATCATCGCCAGCTCCATCATCACCAGCCCCTTCTTCAAACCCCTATAAAAGAGCCTATGTTGCAGACCCAGCAAAATCATTACGGCTTGATGGGTATAATCATTGGCCGGAATGGGGAACAAGAGGAAGATGTAGGGTATGCAGCACTGGTTTTCCAAGCTGTAAATGCAGCAAATGTAATGTACACTTGTGCTCCAATCCCCAAAAAAATTGTTTCGTATCTTATCATTCATAAAAATAAATAAACGGCATTTAAAAAAAAAATCAACTTGAATTTAAATTATAACACAATTGCCCAATGTTGCATATACGCAACATCCTGTAGCTCTTGAACCAGGACACCTAAGACATTGAAATTTTTATCAGTTGATATTGGGGTCAACTCTAGCTTATATGTATACTCAAAAATTTTTTAGCCACGCCCATTTTAATTCGGGCATGAAAGGGTTAACTACTGTCGCAATACAAAAAAAAAACAAAAACAAGAAAGGAAAGCTAACTTCGGGCGGAGCCGAAGTGTATATACCCTTGCAGTTAAAACCGGATATATATCGCAAACATCGAATATAGTTGGCCGCTCCTTATGGGAATATGAATATATAATCCAATTTACTACAATACAAAATCTAAAAAAAGTCCCAAACTTCTATCTTCAAACATACCAAAGTTGGTATTTCTACCAAAAACCATTTCCGATCGTTCAGATATATGACAGCTATAAGATATAGTCGGCCGATCGTTATGAAATTCAGTAGGTTGGATAAACTGACCAAAAATATAATCTGTACCAAGTTCCAGCTTTCTTTCTTCAAAAATACGAAAGTTGGGTCATTTCCGATCGTTCAGTTATATGGCAGCTATAGGATATAGCCGATCCTTACGAAATTTGGCATGTCGTATTATTTTGCCACAAATAGCGCTCATGTAAAATTTGAACTCTCTAACTCACCGAAGTTATACCATTTCCGATCAATCAGTTATATGGCAGCTATACGATATAGTCGGCCGATCCGGGCCGTTCCGACCTATATACTGCGTGCAAAGGAAAGAAGGGTGTGTGCAAAGTTTCAAGTCGATAGCTTTAAAACTGAGAGACTAGTTTGCGTAGAAACAGACAGACGGACAGACGGACATGCTCATATCAATTCAGGAGGTGATCCTGATCAAGAATATATATACTTTATAGGGTCGGAGATGTCTCCTTCACTGCGTTGCACACTTTTGACCAAAATTATAATACCCTCTGCAAGGGTATAAAAAATAGAGCACCCTGTAAGAGAAACATATCTCACGCTCACACACACACTCAAAAGCGACTAAAAATCAAACACTGTTTCACCATTTCTGCTTACAAATTGTTAACTAATTTAACTAATTCTGAAATATACATACATAGTTGTAATCTGGTGCTATCGAATCAAACGTTGATAACTTTAGCAGCCACAACAGAAACGAAACGCACATACAGACAATGGATGTATTCACACACACATATGTATGTATGTATACAAAAATGAATCAAAAATAAAGTACTGATAGTCGCTGCCATTTTACATCTGAGCTACCAACTTATGCTAAACTGCTTACACTGCATACATATGATTCATTTATTTATTACAATTTTGGAACTTTTGTATAATAATTGAAAAATAAAAACACTCTATTTTGCAGAGCACACAAAACAACACGATCACACACAGACAAACACTATCAACCCAGCAGTTCGCCGCACTAGTGCATGGGTGTCGAATTCACTATGCCCCTGGGGTAGACGAGTACCCACCAGTCAATACCTAAGACATGTATTTCAGAGGCGAATTTAACTAAGGCATGTCATAGGCGGTGTACAATCGTCACCTCTTCGTATACCAATGAGTATCGAATTGGGGTACCCTAAAGGAGTACCCAAATACATACTACTAAGGGACATCGATTTAGGTACGGAATTGGGTACACTATACAGTATAGCCACTTGGGTATCTACCAAGGGACAGCGATTTACATACCCAGAAAAAGATTTTTTTTTTTCTTATAAATTTTTGTTTTTTATTATGTATAAAATTATTAAATATAGAATTACATTTAATTCATTTTTAAAAATTTATAAAATTATTTTACTTATCAGAAATTCACAGAATTACACCATTTTATTTGGCTTAAAAAAACTTATGTGTTACGTGTGCGAAAATTATGTGTTGTTGTTGCTGTTGTTGTTGTTGTTTGAGGCATATTTCCATTGCCGCCATCAGCAGAAATTACATCTAATATTATAAAAAAAATCATTATTAAAATTAAAACCAATATTTTTTTTAAATTCTTACCAAGTAGTGCTAAATATACATTTCACGCTGTTTTTAATGACTTTATACTCCATCATTAAGGAATCGCTTAGCATATTTTTTAAATTTCTGGCAACTTCACCAGGACTGCAACAAATGCCTTATAATTGACGCCTGAAAATAAATTCTTTTCTCTTTTGCAAACCATAATTATAATTATTACCTTGTTTATCCTTTTTTTATCACTGTTTCACTGTCACTGTTTTATACCCTTGCAGAGGGTATTATTAATATTTATTTAGTGTTTTTATTATTTATTTATTATTTACCACACTTTCACGTCGTGTCACCAAATATGCTCAAGTTATACTGAAGCAAAAATCAAAAAAAGAGAAGATTTTCGTTTGCGCTTTGTGGTGGTCCGACCGTCGTACCCAAAAGGAGTACCAAAGTATATACTCGCAGCGTTATACAAAAAAAGACATGAAGCAGAGAGTACCCAAGCCGCTATACCAATAGTAAGCGATATGGGTACCCACAAAAGAGTACCCAAATCCATACCCAAAAAGAACTATTGCCACCAGCCGAACTGCTGGGAACAATAGTGACTCATTCGGGGTGGAAAGTGCGGGTCGAAGAAAGTGACGCGGCCAAACACTGCAGAATCTAAAAAAGGATCGGGTATGGGTGACCGGACAGCTGGGGACGGACTCACCTACCGAGCGAACCACAACACTCCCTGGATAGGTCAATATATGGCCTCCGCGAAGATTAGGATGAGCCGCAAACCGCCGAGGTAAGAGGCGCGAAGAGAGCTTTCTCTTCTAGGAACTCTCTTTGCGACACCTTTCTCCTGAGTTGACCGAGCTAAGCAAACGTGGCTGCCCCCACCAGAATTGCGCAGGTCATGGCAGCTGATCGTAAAGCATAGTACTGAGTTGACAAAAATCCGCTGTCCAACGAGTGACAGCTGTCAAACTCCATATAAAAAAAAACGGTGTAAAAAAGGAAAGAAGAAGAAATTTTTGCCTTCTAGATTTTGCGGGTACTGAGTTGACGAAAATTTTTGTTATCGATTTTAATCGTGTTGCCGGATCAAAAAAAATAAACAGCTGCTCCCGGGGTGTTAAAAAAAATATTTGAATTTATTTTTATAGGTGTGACATGGAGGGTCAATTGACCAAACAAAAAAATAGTCGGCCCGAAAAATTTTCGACGCGCCAGGACAAATTAAAATTAATTTCTGCGGTCAAGACGAAGCCCCTAATATGGGATTTGACCCACAAGGGGCATTTTAATGCCATAAAATGGCATTGAAATGATTTGTGATTAATTTTGATTTTGATTTTGACCCAGTTTTCTATTTCTTAATCAGCTCCTTAGCGGCGAAATACATAAACAAAACACCAACATCCAATCGTTTTGAATTCATTTTGGCTTATTTGTTTTTTGTTTACAAACAACAGCTGTTCAGTATTACCTTATTTCTCTATTGTTTTGGTCACACTACCTCGGCAGCCGAATAAAGTGCAAAATCGCTATCAGAATTTCAACAGCGGATTTTCGTCAACTCAATACTATGCTTAACCAGCTGGTGGGTAGTGTTGGGAAACGCCCTAATATTGCATGCCGGTAGAGGGCGCTAGATCTGGACCAAGGGCACCAGGGCTGCCGAACGTCGCAAATGTCGCAACGACGCGACTGCAGGAGCCCGCTAGAGGCGCCCGCCAGCGACTCAAGACAAAGCAGAAGGGTAGCATACCTTTCAGGGCTGCCTCCTCAGGTCCTTTGACCAACCTACTGCGGAAGGGGCTAGAAAACTCTGGCCTGCCATGAGGTGACGAAGGTCATGGAGCTGACCAACTGCCAACCCCTCCGCTACGGCGGTTCACCCTCAAAAGGGGCTCTGGCGACCAAGCAGGAGCGGTATAACTCCCATCGCTCCCGCCAGGAGGAAATTCCAGGCGCACCGATGTAAGGCAGTGCTGAAACCCCCAAACCGCAGCATGCAGTAGCCATGCTGTATCCACTTTCCTCATGCGCAAAGTGAGGAAGACAGCCAAGGGAGGGCTGCTGCTGGAATTGGCGAGGAAGAAGGATAACCCCACAGAGGCCTTTAAAGGCTGCATCGAGGAGGTCCTAGGGAGCAAGGCAGAGGTGCGGGCGTACTCGGAGGAGACCAAGGAGTCGCTCGTCGAGCTACGAAGACTCGACGCACTAGCCACTTCGGAGGACATCATCGGGGCAATCGCGCAGCAGGCAGCGGTGGACCAAGGCGCCTTGAAGGTCAAGAAGCTGAGAAGCACCTATGGCGAGACTCAGACCGCTATCGTGGCTTTCCCCGCGAGTCTTGCCAAGGCCATCACTGCTG